CCCCCCCCCCCCCGCCCCCGGTACACAGTTGTATATCTTAGTTGCAGGTCCTTCTAGTTGTGGGATGTGGGACGCCACCTCAACGTGGCCTGACGAGCGGTGCCATGTCTGCGCCTGGGATCCGAACCCTGGGCCGCCGCAGCAGAGCGCGCGAACTTAACCCCTCGGCCATGGAGCCGGCCCCGAAGTTTTGTATTTCTTATTGGCTACTTTTGGTAATTTATAACCAAATTTAATGATTTATCTAAGTTGTCAAATTTATTGGCATAAAATTGTTCAGCATCCTCTCATTATCCTTGTAATGTCTGTAAGATCTGTATATGTTTTTTCATTCATGATATTGGTAATTTATGTTTCCTGCATTTTTCCTGATCAATCTTTTAAAGAGTTTATTAGTTTTATTAATTTTCCAAGAACCAACTTCTGGCTTTGTTAATTTCCTCCATTGGTTTGTCTTTTGTTAATTTCATTAATTTCTGCTCTTGTTTTTATTGTGAACTTTCTGCACTTATACTGTATTTCATTGTCTCTTATCTTTTTCAGATAGAAGTGGAAATCATTGATTTTGCATCTCCCTTTTCTTATATAAGCATTTAGAGCAATACATATTCTCTAAGGATTTAGCATATCTCACAAATTTTGATCTGTTTGTTTTCTTTATTATTTGGCTCAAAGCATTTTCTGACTTACTTTGTCAATTCTTCTTTGACCCTTGGATTATTTAGTAGTGTGTTATTTAATTTCCCACATATTTGGGAATTTTCTAGGTATCTTTTTGTTCTTGACTTCTGATTTAATTCCGTGTGATCAAAGAACGTATTCTGTATGATTTCATCCTTAGAAATATATGGCCCAACATATATGGTCTAGCTTGGTGAATATTCCATCAGCAATTACATAGAATGTGTATTTTACTGTTTTTGGGTGAAGAGTTCTATAAATGTCAGTTGATAGTGTTGCCCACATCTTCCACATTACTACTGATTTTTTATCTTCTTGTTCTATCAATTTCTGAGAGCGGGGTGTTGAAGTATCCACCTGTGAATGTGGAATTGTTTGTATTTCTCTTTAATACTGTCAAGTTTTGGTTCATGTATTTGGAAGCTTATTTTTTAGCTACATACACACTTAAAATTGTTTTGTTTTCTTGCTTGATTGGCCCTTTTATAGTTTTTAAATGCCTTTCTTTTCTTTGATTACCTTTCATCTTGGGTACGCCTTGTCTGATGTTAGTGTAGCCCTGCAGCTTTCTTACACTTTGATGTATGCACCGATAGGTTTTTCCATCCTTTTACTTTCAGCTTGTTTGTGTCCTTATGTTCAAAGTGTGTTTTTTGTAAACATCATGTAGTTATGTTTTGCCTTTTTATCTACTCGACATTCTCTGCTCCAGGATAAATTCCAGCTGGACTAAATATTTAAATATAAAAATTACACCATTAGAGCAATAGAAAAAAGTATGGGAAAAATTTTAAAATAATCTTGGGGCAAGAGGAGGCCTTTCTAACTATAACACAAAACCCAGATTCCTAAAAGAAAAGACTGATGAATGTAACTACATGAAGTTTTTGAATGGCAGACGAACCATGAGCAGTCAAAGATAAGTGACGAGCAAAGCAAAATATTTGCAGTTCATATCATAGCTACTGGACATATTTCCTTACTACTTAATGTGTTCCTACAAGTCAATAAAAAAATAAAAACTTAATAGAGACATGGGGAAAGGATATGACCAGATAGTTCAGAAAAAAAAGAAATATAAGCATCTTTTGAATATACAGAAAGATTTTTGACCTTTCTCAAAACAACGTAAGTAAACACTTTCTGATAGTACTTTTTACTTATCGCCTATCGTACAGAAAAGATCAAAAAGTTTGATGACACTTTTGGCAAGAGCAGTGGAAACACTCATTCTTTTGCATTGTTATTGAGTTAAATTGATACAATTTTTAAGGGAAGGCAGTTTGGTAATCACTGTCTATCAAAATAGCAATTTATGTAACTTTTGACTAGCAATTCCACTTCTCAAATTTATCCTACAGATATACTGGCCCATGTACAAGTGTATTCATTATAGCACTGTTTATAGTTGTAACTCAGTTGGGTACAGGTTAAATTACGGTACGTAGTACTAAAAGAATCTTCCAGAACTGTTGACATAATGAAGAAACTGCTCTATATTTACTGATATGAGACAATCTCCAAGATATGAAATTAAAAAGCAAAAGATAAAATAGAGAGAATAGTCTGCTACTATTTATATAAAGAATAATATGTAATAATTGTTTGCAAATATGTAAAATACTTCTAAAAAGATGCTAAGAAATGGATGATATGGGTTGCTGCTTCTAGGGAAGACGAGTGGATGGCCTGGGACAAAGATGGGAGGGAGATTCTTTTATTCTATGCCATGTTGTGTCTTCTGAATTTTGAACTATTTAAATGTATTATGTATTCAAAACAGTGAAAAATGTTTCCAAAATTGTTACAAGGTAAAAATATCCCGTTAAAATTTCTAGCTTGTCACTAACAATACTGCGACTAACATGTACATTCAGGATCCAGTTTATCTTCCTTCTCCTTCTGTTTGAAGTTTGCCTCCTTCGTTTTGACAGGAAAAGCGAAACAAACAGAATATTTGACCCTTTGATAGGTGCCGTTCAGTAACTACTTCCTGAGGACCTCCCACCTCACTCGTCTTCACTTTAAAGCTCCAGCCAAAGGACAGTCTTAGGAAGAGGGATTTTTTAAATTCTCTTCTGGCTCAAATACATGCCTGACAGTGTATGTCTTTAAATGTGTATGTATGCGTGACATAGAAAGAAATGATTGGAAAACAGTGAATTTCAATTTTAAGGATTTAAGGGAAAATGACCCAAAAAGCTAGAAGTGTGATGATAGTCTTATTTTCTCTTCTAGATATTAAGCACCGCCGAATACCAATCTTATTCTTTGCCAACAAAATGGATCTTAGAGATGCAGTGACATCTGTAAAAGTGTCTCAATTGCTGTGTTTAGAGAACATCAAAGATAAACCATGGCATATTTGGTAAAGTTTTATATTTACTTTTCATTTTATCATTCTGGAAAAAATCTCCAAACTTCAGTTTTTCTTTTTCAAGCTCATTTTATAAGTGACCTAACATGGCAGGATGTAAGCTAAGGATTTTGTTTTATAGAATTGCGGCAATATGGGTATTCATGAATATATTACTGATAAAACCTTCTCAAATCTTTTTGGGCAAAAAGTTTAAAAAGTAATTTTAAAGTTAAGTTAGTTTAGTTTTGTAGTTTAGTAGTTTAGTTTTAAAGCTACTCTTTAAAAGAGTAACTTAGTGTACACACTCACCTCACTCCAGCCTCGCTGATTTCCTTCTGCGTGTTGATCGCATCACCAGCCATGATCCCTCGCAGGGCATTTGCATGTCTGACTCCCTTCATCCGAATTGTTCTCCAAAATAATTCTACTGGCTTCCTCTTGCTCTTCCTTTAGGAGAGAGACCTTTCCTGAGAGCTCTCTAAAATATCGCTGTATCTTACCCCCGTCTCTTGTTTTTTCCTTACTTTGCTTTATTTTTCTGTTGCCATGTGCCCTCTTCTTTTTTCTGTTTTTTGTTTTATAGTCTGTCTTCCTAGACTAGTGCATTAGCGCCATGAGAGCTGGGATTTTAGTGGTTTTGTTCACTCTGTACCCCTGGAATAGTAATAGTACCTGGTCCTCAGTAGGTACACAATAAATATTTGTTCATATGAATAAATAGAAATTGAAATATTAATCTTATTTGAACATACTAATAAGGTTGAACTCTTAAATAATTACTGTCTGAAATTATTACACATTGTTTATTCCAAAAGCAGTTTCTTACTAATATCCTTAACTCCAGGATTCCTTTCTACCAAAATGTTCCAGCAAGGATAACCAGAAGTTATATATTAGGCACTATTTCAGTGCCTACCACTACCTCATGTTAAGCTCCCTTCTATCCACCCACCCACCTCCCCTGCTGCAAGATGTCCTTCTCCTGCCAGTTTTCCCCTTTTTATAAGAAGGTATCTGTGGAGAAAGGCTCAACACAGGCAGAGAAATCCAGTGTCTCTGGACGGAGAAACAGAGAATGAAGGAAATAGTAGGGCTCAGAAAAGAACTTTAGGAGCTCCCCTTGGTGCTGAAAGAGTAATAGAAGCACGCCTGAGGAAGCCCTGAAACTCGGTCCTCAAGGCCTGCAGCACCTCTGCTCAGGAGTGAAACACGGCACATGTCAAGTAAAACCCTCCTGACTTTGGAATCAGAGGAAAAGTCAGTGTTTACTAAATGGTTCTTGAGTTGAAATTTGAGGTTCTGTATTTGGTTGGTAAAGATAGGAGGGATTTTGGGTAGAGAAATATCTTAAGTTAGTGCTTTTGTATTTCTCTAAATCATATCTAAATTGATGTCTAAAGTAGGATAATTTTTAATTTTTTCACTGTATTAAGTATCGTGACTAAGGATATACAACACTCAAAACATGGGTCTAATTAGTAAAAGCAGTCCTGCTTTTAATTTTGTAGTAGAAATTAATTTTGCAAATGTAAAAGTCTTTCCACTTAAAATAATTAGCAATTGAATTTTAACAGCTTTATTTATTCAGTTGTGACATATGAGGATATGGAATATTATATTGCCAGTTTCTGTATTTTCTGTGTAACTTATAGAAGAACACCAAGTATTTGTTTTAAATTTGTCTGTAATTTTGACTTCTCCTTAATTCAAACTGGACATCTCACTGAGTTCCAGTTAGTGTTTCATTTGTTACATTTGTTCTTTATTTTTCACAATGTTCTTTAAAGCGTCTATAAAATTGAAAATACATTATCCTTCTTTCCCTGTGTTAGAGATAAACGTAGTGCTCAGTGATACAGAGATAAAATACTGCATCTCTCTTGCCTTAGGTACAAGTAAATTTACTGGGCAATAAGGAAAAGATCATAGAGAAGTATAGTCTGGAAAATTAAAGGAAAATTTTTGTGGTTTGTCTTTGACCATTGTACTAAACATATAGTCAACTCTGATTTTCAGGGTCTGTGTTCTTGTTCCTCCTGTGTGTTTTTTGACTCGGTCTCTGGCGTGATAAGTATATCTGTTTGCTTATTTACTGTCTTGTGAGGGAGACACATAATAAAACAGGTAAATAGATGTATAAAATGTCAACTGGGAGGATGAAGAAAATAAAGTAGGGTAATAAGAGAAAGAATAAGGAGAGGTGCTTCCTCTCTGAGCTCTGGCTGAAGTCAGGGAGCCATTCAGGCTAAGGTTTGGAGGGATAGCTTTCCGGATAGACAGACCAGCAAGTGCCTGGTTGTGTTCCAGGAAGAGCGAGCAGTCCAGGCTGGCCGGAGCAGAGACACGTAGGGGGAAATTGCAGGAGAGGAGGCCACTGAGGAATAACAGGGGCTATTATCACATAGGCTTTTATTCTAGTTACAGGTCTTATGAAAGGAAAGGTAGGACACAAACGCTTGGGAATTATTAGGAAAAGGTAAAGGGTTTTGAGTAGGGTAGTGACACCTCCACCAAAGGGCAAGGATTCCTTCATTGTGGTACTTGCTTGGGATTATAGGTGTGTGATCAAATCAATACATTGAACTTTCCTGATTTAAGTATTTCAGTTACTGATGTTTTGCTATTGATAAGGATAATCCATAGTTTGCTTTGAATAATTGTATATCTCATCCTGTTTGTTTCTGTCTTACTATTTTAAATTACTGTGGTAAGTCATATTCTTAGTCTAATAAGTAATTCCTTGGAAGTAATTTCTGTTTGGGTTAGAATCACATTAACCCTTTTAGATAATTCCCTACATTTTAAAATCACGCGTGAGCACACTAAAAGGAACCTAATCATTCAGAAAAATCTAAGTGTGTGTACTAATTGATATTATGTGAGTATATTTTGAAAGGAAATGACTAGATCAGTAACATGTAAGAAATTATTAGTCTGCACCTTTGAAAAAGATTATTTGCTACTCTAGAAATCCTCTGCATTTTATTATTTTAGTTTATATAACTTAGTTGTGATTATTTATAAAATAATATCACCAATATAAAATAAGGAGTTAAGTTTACTCTCTTAAGAATGGAAAGACAATGAAAAAACCCTGTTTTAGGTGTTTTATATACATATCTCAAATATTTAATTCTCAACATAACCATATGAGACCAATGGTATTATTCCCCCATTTTACAGTTGCTAAAAGTAGAGACAAAACAGGTAAATAACCTATCCAGGTTCCTGAAGCCAATAAATATAAAATTACAATTGAAATCTACTGGGATTTTTTATTCTAACAGTTTATACCCTATCGATATCAAATTCCATTTCAAATAAGGTCACTCCATCCTATGGCTAAATTACAACCTAAGTCAACCATTTCTAATAAATAAATGCTATTGAGTCATTGGGGCTGGGCAAAGTAGGGTGGTGGACTCAATAAAACGTCCCCACTGGGAAGATGACTCAGAGTATATGTTTCCTTAATGTCAGTCTGTGTAATATTCCTAGAACAATAACTTTTTAGTGATAGACTTTTCCAAATGTTCTACAAATTATGTCCATACAAACGTCAATACAAACGGTGAATAATTTTCTCAAGTCTTGCTCCTGAGCACTCAGACTTTTATTTCCTGTGTATATTCAGTTTCAGTGCGTAACCAGTTTTGCTCAGATATGTTACTAGAATATATTAATTTGCCATATGGCAAAATTGTAATTATGTATTCTTATAGTTCTATAATGTAATGAAATGGATGTATTTCTTATGGATTTTATTTCAGTGCTAGTGATGCCCTAAAAGGAGAAGGATTGCAAGAAGGTGTAGACTGGCTTCAAGGTACATCCCAAAATACTGTGCATCTGCAGACTTGATTTGCTTTCCGTTCACATTTTCCTTTCCTCTTTAACATTTTATTTTTGTTATATCATTGCCTTTTTTCCTCTTGTTTCCGTTTATTTCTGCTGTCAGAAAAAACAATACAGTAAGTATTCCATACTTTGCTCCATTTACTTCTATTACATTTTTCTAAAGGATTTATTTAAATAAAGTGTTTGCATCTTTACAATCAATATATATGACAACTCTAGAAAATAATTTTTATTTATGGCAACAAATTTCTATCAGATCTAGTAATAGAAGCACATTTGAAGTTTGCACTAATTTTTGGCCTACTATCAATAACTGAAAATAAGTCTGCATGGCATGTCTCTTTTAAGACTCATGCCGTACTCATATCGAGCTCCATTTATACATAGCATGCTCACACAACTTTTAACACTCAAGCCTAGTATGATCAATACTGGTATTCTGTTGGTGTTTTGTATATTGCAGTTCTCTTTGTTATTCATCAAAATAGCCATCCTAGCTTGGTACAGGCTTAGTATATCAGGGAATAAATTAAGATATGTCATTTTCTCTAAATGCATTGTCTACTAGCCACAGGAACAGCTTAAAGCACAATGACCCACAAAGAGCAATAGATGTGAATGAACCCAAGTTCCGCAGGTCCTTCTTATTAGAGGACCCTGATGGTCAGGCCAAAAAATTTTCATTTGTGAGCAGAACAATTGAGAATTATTCCTATTAGGAATCTCCCTGCCCTGAACAAGAGTGAATAACAAAATATTATAAATTCTAGTTGTAGTCTTGTGGCTATAAATTTAATTTCTCCTACACTAACCTTTTAATGCGAGTTATGTGTGATTTTTTTATCTTCCTCATGTCACAGTGGATCTAAGAGTAGCCTGCTTGCCCACACATAGAGAGACATAGTATTTCTTTGGCTCAAAGCACTAAATGTACATCTGATAAATATTTGTATGTGTTATTGGTAAAATATGGTATTTTAGTTAACTGCACAGACTATTGTATTTCTTTCTCTGTGTATTTATGTAGTCATCATGACATTTATCATTAAACTGCAAAGAGCATTCTAGTCATATTTTACAATTAAATGAAACTTAGTTGAAAACCTCTAGTGCTGGGATTTTTGTGTGAACACACCAACTTAGTTTCTTAGACTGGTGAAGAAGTGGTCAAAGTTATGAGATTGGTTTTCACATAAAACAGATTACAAAGGAACATTCCAGAAAGACACTAGAAGCATATTTTCAGCCTTGATTTTCTATTTTACAAGTGCCTGTTATTGCTCACAGTGAAGATACAGCATGGATGTAGGTTTCTAATCCAGATTTTAAATTGTAGCTCTTCCCTTTTTTCTTTTCTGGCTATATTTTGTCTGTAACAGTGAGGCCACTAGGTGTCAGGAATGATCCAGCATCTCAGTGCCATTGCCCACGCTGGTGTTACCTAATTTTTGTGTCTGACTTTTCTGATCTATTATCTTCGCATCTTACTTCCCAAGTCTTTGTAAGGAGATACATTACTGGAAGTATTTTTGTGTCCTTGTGTTACCATATTGTTTTACATAAACTTTACGGCAGCTCTCTGCAGGGTGAGTGGTACTACCCCATTTCATGTAGGCAACACGGGATGGTAGTTTAAAGCACTTGGGCTTTTGAGTCCAGCAGATTTATTCCACTACTTATTAATCATTAACCAACATCTATTCTTAGCTTGTGCAGATAATTTTCTTAATTTGTTAATTAAATAAAATATCAAAAATTGTTGTACAGATTAAATAAAACACTGTATGTGGTAAAGTGCCTAGTATAAGAAAATACTCAGTAAATGTTAAATTTACCCTTTTACCTAACTGCTCTATTTGGCAAAGGAGAAAACTTAGTACATAGATTAAAAAATGTGTCAATTTGGTTTTGAATATGAAGTCCTTTTTTTGTATGTCCTGTGTAATAGTAAATAGTTTACATTTTGATGCTCCTAACTGTGTCTCTGGATTTGAAAAGAGGTAAAAACCTATTTTGCAAAATAAGTAGCAGTAAATATAGGAGACAAGTCCTATAAATCAATTTTATTTATATAAATATTTATTTAAATACATTTATTTATTTATATAAATTTTCGGACCAATTTAATCTTATTATTTTAAGGTTGAAAAATTTGGGGTAAAATATTAAATGTCACATTTTGTGCCATGATTCCATTCTCTTTTGGAAGGATTCCCAACAATTACCTATGTATTACAGCCCAAAGACAAGAAAAAACCCTTGAGTAGACTATGAAGTATTCTTTAAAACACCAGAGAATATACAGAAACCGTCACAGAGGTATAAGCTGTCATCTAGCTCTGAAACTTTCAAATGAGATATTTATAAAAAGAAATCCTCCCACATGGCTAATGAAATATTCATTTCATCACTTCATCTGTATGGAAAAAGTTAATAATGCTTCCAGGTTTTAATATAAGACTTATAAATTATACAAATGGATGTTCCAATGAAAGATAGAGAATTGAACACAGGTTTAGTTTCATCCTCTCCTCAAATCTCACTAACGTTAAAGGGACTTTTGTTTAAAGACCTTAACCCACGAAGGCAAAGAATGGGAGTGACAAAAATGGCAACCAAATTTTGGAAGCTGGATATCTCATGAATGTCAAATGACTTAACAGACCCAAGAAAGCTGAATTCGAAGCTAGTGCTGTGGAAAGCTGGTAATCATCCTCATTCACACTGCAGATGCTCTCAAAGCCTCAGATATGGATGGAAATTGGACATAAAAATGAGGTGGGGCTTAAGAGAAGACACATACACATCCTTGCCCCTAAAGAAGACTCAAGGTTCCTTCTCTGCAGAAAGTCAAACAGTGTGCTCTCTGGACTGGAGAACACCAGGCACCGCTGTGTGTGGTAGTGCTGAAGTGAAAATGAGGAACAACTGGAAGTTTCCATGCTGAATATCGTAACCTCTTCTGCCTTCTTCTACTTCTCCCAGAAGACCCTGGCAGTAGGCAGGACACAGAAAGGCGTCTTTGAGGAACAAGATCTCAACCTAAGAAAAGACCTAAAGGTATTAACATCCAAGATTCCCAAGGAAATGGCTTAACTAGATACTCTAGAATGAAGACCACATATGAGAAGATGGCAAAGGATCACCAGCCGTTTGAGGACAAAAACATTATGAATTATGGAACATAAACAAAAACAGGTTAGAGGAAGTAGAATTTATTTAGGGTAACATTTCAAAACAACTATTGGAGAATCCTCAAACAGATAAGAGAAGACATTACTTTCATGAGTATGACCAGGGTACTGCTTGAGAAGGAACAATCAAAGAATAAAAAAATGAGTTCTTGGAAAATATTAAGAGAATAGTAGAAATAGAAAACTCAATAGAAAGATGATAAAATAGATGCAGTTTCTCAGAAAGTGGAGCAAAAACACAAAGAATAGAAAATTGGAAAGAAAAAATAAGAAAAGGGTCATGTTTAGGAGGCTTAATTTCCAAGAATAGGAATTTCAGAAAGAGAAAACAGAGGGGAGAAAATCATCAAATAAATCATCAAACGGTATTTTCCAGAGCTGCATGATGAGCTTTTAGCTGAAAGACCTCTTGAGGGCCCAATGCATTGGATGAAAATATTGCCACACCAAGGGGCATCATTATTACAATTCACCACAGAAGACAATGGAAGATTCTACAAGCTTCCTGAGAAGAAAATAAGAGGTTTCATGCAGAGGATAAGGAAACAGAATAGTGTCAAACTTCTCAAGGGCAGCACTTGGAAGCTGTAAGATAATTGGGCAATGCCTGGAAAAGTCTAAGGAGAAAATAATGGGATTATGTTCTTAGGCAGTTTCAGTGTATTGTGACTACAGAATTAAGACGCCTTCAACCATGTAAAGTCTCAAGAATTTACTTCCTATACCTTTTACTAAGGTAGCCACTGAGAGGCGTACTCCTCAAAAACAAGAGAATAAACCAAGAAGAAAAAATAGGGGAGCATGGAACACGAAAACCAGCCCAAGAGAGTGGGGGGAGAAATCCCCAGGATGATAATGGAGATCCTGGAATGATCGTGGAAGTTCTCACATGAATAACTGGGCAAGCACAGAGAACAACTGGTCCGGATTTGGAAGACCAAGGAGAAAGTGAAGTTGATAAGACTATGTGATGTGCTTCATAATAATAAAGGTTTAAACAATGTGGGAGTTGTGGGGTTGAATTAGTGTTAAGTACATTAAAAAAACTAAGCAGAGAGGCAGCATTGAGGATGAGGAGCGATTATTAACTCCAGGGAAAACAGAATGTGGTAGAGGGAAGGAGGAGTGGCTGGGGCGGCCCACCTGTCTCGGCTGTGAAGAGCTCTCGAGCCATCACGTTGCAGATGACTAGACAACTGTCAAAGGGAGCGTGGGAGCACTCTGCGGGTGCAGATGGGCAGCGGAGAGTGTGAGAGCTGGAGGCTCCTATTACAGTGAAGGAACTGCTATTTCAAGAAGTAATAATCGGGGGCCGGCCTGGGGGCCCAGTGGTTAAGTTCGCACATTCCGCTTCAACAGCCCACGGTTTGCCGATTCGGATCCCAGGTACGGATGTGGCACCGCTTGGCAAGCCGTGCTGTGGTGGGCGTCCCACGTATAAAGTAAAGGAAGATGGGCATGGATGTTGGCTCGGGGCCAGTCTTCCTTGGCAAAAAGAGGAGGATTGGCAGTAGTTAGCTCAGGACTAATCTTCCTCAAAAAAACAAAAAAGTAATAATAAAAGTATATTATTTAGAGATAAAGAGGTAGTCACCCAACAGGAAGTTGGAAGTAGTTGCCTCTGAAAGGAGAAAGAGGAGACGAGGCTAGGGACTGCTGTTTTTCATACAAGAATTAGTTGACTCAACACTGTGCATGTACAACTTGATGAAAGTAAAAACTGTAGTATGAATTGTGCTTTTAAAGAAACAGGTGTATGCATAGGTTTCTACCATGTTCTTAGGATTTGTCTCGGATTACTTTAGAACGTAGATTTTACTGTGTAGAGACTGATAACTTTTTGTTTGTTTGTTTTTTGTTATCAGATCAGATCCAGGCTGTGAAGACATGAAAAGATAGTATTTGGAAACCTCAGCAATTTTCAATTCAAAGAATATATCTTAAGGCAAACTAAATACTTTAAACTTTTTAAAAGATATCTGTGCATCTAAGAATACTGTATAATCATCTTCTTGCATTTATGGACTCAATGAGCTTTTTTAAGAACATAGGACTTCAGGTATGCTAATGTGGCCATTAATTTTATGAAGACTAAATCTTTTCTCAGAAGGGCTCCCAGAATTATCAGCTTCTTGGTAAAAGTCTACATTTGTTTGTAATTAGAATGTTTAAAGGTTAGAGTTATAAGCCACCTCAGTCTCATCATGACTTGTGATATCTTTAATGCATTTTATTTTGTAAATTGTCTATCTTCTAAAAATTTATGGTATGACCTTGCAGTATGATTGTGCTTGTGAAAAAGAACCTTAAATATTTATAAGGGACCATGGGTAATTAATATATATTAAATTTTTACTGTGTGTCACCATCAATGAAACATAAAATGTAATGTACCAACTAGTGTGCTTTATTTATGCTGAAAAGAATAATGCTGTGTTAATATGGCATTTGGTGTTTTACTGTCCAGCATTTGTAAATTATCTGACACCAAGTTAAGCTGTATTTATTTACCCAGTGACTCTTGCACATCTCTATACTGGTACTAGTCTGGCATTGTCCTAGGCAGTGGTGACACAAGGTAAATAAGACATATTCCTCATCCTCAGAGAACTTAAATGTTAATGAGGGAGAATTTTAGAACATTTTCATACATAGTATCTAATTTTATTTCATTGGCTGAATGAAAACATTGCATTTTAAGATTAAGAAGTATAAAAATGAATTAATGTGTGATTCTTCAATAATTATTATAACCAACTTCTTTTTTCTTCTTTAAAATGCCTCCAGTAAACTGAAATTTCCAGTTTTGCTAAGTGGAAGTTAACAAAAGTTTGCTAAACTCCAGTGCTTTGTTAAAATAGGTTGTGACTCACCAAATTGTGTTTTCCCTGAGCATAAACTGCTCCAAAAATATCTGTTAGAATTTTAGACATGTATCAGGCATTTACGGTACACAAATCTTACTTCCCACAACTTAGAGACCACTTCTAATTGTGAACTCTAAGCAGAAGCTTTCATTTTAAATTAATCACTGGGAAGCAGTGTATAGAGCAATGGTGTCAATGCTGAAAAACACTGTATATGAAGAAAACCTGGAATATACAATCTGTAACATCTTAAACATCCTTAGCTGTGAAAATGATAAAAACAGAAGGCAAAAGGTAAGTGAGTAATACAGATGTGTTATAGTAACTGCAGTAGTGGAATGTTTCACAGAGATTTGAATAAAATAATTTTAAAACTACAGTAAAAGTTCGATATAATCCAGTTTCTCTTAGTCCAGAAATCCCTAGAATTTAGCAAATTGAAAGTTATCCAGAATATTCCAGTGATGCAGCATTTTAGCTAGTTTGCCAGCTTCTCATACATTGTTTTGATGTGGATACAAAGTGAGGCCCATTAATCCAGAGTTGCCTCAGATATAAAAAGAACATGATGATGAAAGCACTGAATGTAACTTAAAGAACTGATATACTGTATTTTAGGAGGATGGAGAAAGGGGTGTTTTAAGAGAATTCAAATCCTCATCTACCATTGGGAACATAATAATAATAGCTGTCATCTATGATCACTGTATTTTAAGCAGGATATTATTACACATAGGGGATTTTGCATCATTTAATCCTTAGGGTAACCCTATGTGGTAGGTTCTACTATTGGTGTTTATAGACAAGGAAACTGAGGCTAAAGAAGTTATTTGCTGAAGGTCACAGAGCTAGTAAAACGTGGTGCTGGGATTCAGAATCAGACGACCTGTTGAAAACGGATGGTTGACGAGACCAGAGTATTACAGGTAGAACCACGGGGCTGTCTGCCGTAAGAGTGGCTGAAAGGACAGAAGAGGCTCTCGCTGGTGGGCGACCAGACGGCGGCGGGAGGAGGTCAGAGACGGGGCTACTGCTTGTGTCGTTTGGCTTCTTTTAAGTCTATTAACACTTCAAGCTTTAAACTCTGGGCATAAATGACTATGATAACAATAATTCTTACAGCTATGTTGATACTAAGTTAACTAGTATTCTGCTAATTGACCACAGTACCTCATACCTATGCAAAGAAAAGAGAGAAAAGTACTGACTTTGTCCTTTGTTTCCATGATTCCAAGTCTCGTTTACAGTCTATAAACATCCATTCCTATTCTACCTTTTCACATAAAGATTATGTAGAAGCAAGTTGGGCTATAGTGGTCCCATGATACCGTGTAAGTGTGTATAAGCTGAAGTTATTGCATTCATAATTAACATATTATGCAATTAGAATTTATTGCATTAAAGCTGAAGCAAGTGTTTTTTCATGTTTAGACATCACTGTGTTACAAAGTTTAATTCATTAAGCTCTACCTTTCACTATAACACATGATAAAATGTTGTATGTTTTGCATTTAAATATTTACATGTGGTCCTATTCAGCCTGTGCCTTGTAAATCTCAAAAGGGCTGAGTTGTATATATTTATTTTTCACTTACAGGTTGTCTGCTAAAAATTATGAATTATGTCCTGATTGCTTAAGTTATTTTTTTCCTTTAGAATTTTTGGCACACTACATTGTAATTTCCAAAAATATATGCAATTACTCTTGAGAGTACTTAACGCAAATACATCCTGCATGTAACTGGTACATTAAAATACTGTAGTATTTTAACTGATTTTGTGCATATTTTCTGCTTTCTGATGATTTTCTCTTCTTAGTTTAAAAAATAAATAAAATTGATACTAAAAGTTGACTTAAATGAATGTTAAAATAGGTTTGTCCATTTCTCTGGCTGGAGAGAAATACTATAATGGTTGAGACATGGTTGTTGTGCTTAATTGAACGTTTCAGGTAACTTAGTACGTTTTCGTAGTGATGCTCCTGCTGGGGTTTGCAAGGACTGACTCAGGACCATTACTGACTCTTCCCTCTCCTCACACGAATTTGATGCCATACCTGAAGGCTTCACCAACATGTAGTATTAAACTTTTTTCTAGTGGCTTAAAATAAACCAGGAAGGACAAATTAAATCCTTCTCCAAATTTCAAGTCACAAGTAATGCTAGAAGTCATAGAAGAATAGTAGGTATTTTGAAAATAAAGTTTGGTTAGAAACACAGTAGTAGTAATAAACATTCTTAGAGCTTTCTCCACATGCAGCCGCCTCCTAAGCACTTTACTGTGTTAGCTCATCGGCCCTCCTCAACGCCGTGGGGAAGATGCTCTTACCTCCATTGTATAGATCAGGGCTCAGCAGACTGCCAGTCTGTTTGGGTAAGGCCCTTGAGCTAGTAATGATTTTACATTTTTAAAGGGTTATTTAAAAAAAAGAAAAAGAGCAACAGATACTGTATGTGGCTCACAAAGCATTAAATTATTTACTGTCAGGGCCTCACGTAAAACCTTCGCTGACCCCTGTTGTAGACGATGGACGTGGAGAGAGAAAGGTTACATCACTTGCCTACGGTCGTATTATAAATAAGCAGAGGACCCTCGAGTTTAAGTCTAGACACTCTGGCCCCAGAATCTGTGTTCTTAACCACTACCAGGCTTCTCAAGACACTAAAGATTATTCTGAAGTGGAATAGAACAATTTGAAATTACGTATTTCTTAAATAATTAAAGATGAAAAGTTAGATGCAAATGGCTGAAAAGTAATGCTCTTTGAAATCCTTTTTTTTCCCCCAGTGAGATTGATGTCTTGGCCTTCTGAAGTCTTCTTCCCTCCTTTTCTTTAAATGGGTGGCAACAGAGGGGCAGATTCTGAAACATCAGACATGTGAATATTTTAAGGTGTGACCACACACACATACTGTCCCCAAGCACCTGGCTTGGACTTCCCGATTTCCTGGGGACTTTTACCAATATTTGGAGGTAATGATAACTAGTGTTGATAGTCTTGAAATGTGTGTGGTAAAATGTGCAAATATTTACCATTTAATTTGTGGATCTGCATTTTCAGTTGAGACCACAAGTAACAGCTATAACTAACAACATTCTCTTAATTACACGCATTTCATGGTTATGTGTCAGTGTTCTAAATTTGTGCCATTTGACTGGTGGAATAGCATGTCCTCCATAAAGGACTAGGCCCAGAAATCAGCCTCTCTCTCATTCTCTCTTGGCCAAGTGTGTAAATTCTTGCAAGAATTTTACGAAATACCATAGTGTTGTAGTAAAAGATCACTAAATAGGTTTATGTTTCTTCCAGTTAAATGAGATCATTACCCTGGAGTTGAAGCCAACTTCACGTTAAACCCTGTCTTCGTCGGCTCCGTGGAGTGTGTGTGTCAGGATGCGCTCACTCAGTGATCACTAACTTCCCCGGGGCTCTCTTGGGCAGATTTATAGACATACCTTGCAAATATGTTATTTTACCATGTTTTGGGGTTTTTATTTTGTTTTTGTTTGTAACTCTTAAATGTGATACATCAGCTCTTGCCATTTCTGGAAACTTTATTATCTATTTGATAGAGTTTTTAAGGCATTGTTTTAGATGCTGGATTAGTAATGTTTTAAATACTGTCCACTAATTCAGTGAGTTAGTAGATTCACAAAATATCACTTATCCCTTTTAATGTTGTAAAACCCCCAAACTGTGAATAATTTCATTTCAGTTATGCATAATAGGACAAGATTTTTTAAGAATCAATAGGGGCCGGCCCACTGGCACAGTGGTTAAGTTCACACATTCTGCTTCAGCAGCCTGGGGTTCCCTGGTTCGGATCCCGGGTGGCAACATGGCACCGCTTGGCAAGCCATGCTGTGGTAGGTGTCCCACATATAAAGTAGAAGATGGGCACAGATGTTAGCTCAGGGCCAGTCTTTCTCAGCAAAAAGAGGAGGATTGGTGGCAGATTAGCTCAGGGCTAATCTTCCTCAAAAACCAAAAAAAAAATGAAAAACCCAAAAAATAAAAAAAGAATAAATAAAAAGATTTCCAAGACCGTATATCAATATAGTATCTTGTTAATGTTAAAATTTGTTTTTCTAATATGAGATACATCTAACACAGGACTGTTTTTTAAATGTTAATGATAGGTTTGCTCATTAAAAGGGGGTGTTGGTCTCTATAAAGGCAAGAGGCAGTATTTTGCTGTTAATTAAATTAGATCTTCAGATAGAATAAGCAGAGATATTCAATACTCATCACAGAACTTGTCTATGTGGGAATGAGTATAAACTTAAGAAATGGACTACAGTTCTTTCTCAAAAGAGATGAGGACAAGCCTGAGGCTTCCACTCCATACTAAGTTGGCAGTTTCTTGGTCTTTCCATGAATAGGGCTTGCCCTCCAGTAGGATAACATTCAAGCAGCAACTCTGTTTAGGAAGCCTACAATTATATCTCTTTTTAATATAACAGCAGAATTACTAGCAGTGCAAAGAAGACCTTATTTAGGCTTAGAGATTATACAGTACTCTGTATTTAACTTAATTACATCCTTATTTTTATTAGATTTATCTAAGTATCTGTCTTATGTTGTCTACTTCCCAGAAGCAAACTGAGAAAGCGTATCTGCATCCTAAGGTCACTTTGTAACAAAACGAAAAGCCGAAAAGCCGTAATGCTGGGAGTGTCTCACTCCAAGGAAACCCTGAGGCTATTCAGTTAACTTGTGGTTTTTTTTTTTAAATTTTTTTACCGTTTTTTCTTTAACCCTACTTCAAATTGTTCTTCAAAATGCCTAAAATAATAATGTATATGCATTAAAGATAATCCTCTAAGCCACTGCAATCAGAAAAAAATAATTCAGTAGTGTAACTACAAGTGTAAACTCTAATTTTAAAGAAGGAACCCAAATCCTTCTCTTCCTTCTTAGAACAGTATGGAGTGGGAGGGGGCAGTGGTGCCCTGGACGAAACTCTGATCTGGGCCAGCTTTCAGAAAAGTCACGATTCCGGGTCGCTTCCAAGTCTGTGCAGCCGTCAGTGAGTAGACGGCTCTAGTAGTACCTTCGTTCACTCCAGTCGGCCCGGGGCACAGGCCGGAAGCCAGAATGAACACATTGGGAGTGACATAGCTCTGCATACTGATGTAAAGCTCTTCCCAGGCTATATCATGTTTAGAAAAATGGTATTGTTTTCCTCAAAATTATTCAAGACTTGGACTCCATATTTATTTTAGAGAGGTGTGCATGAGCTTGCTTTGCAGGGGCAACAATTATACTTTGAACATTTGAGTCTTTACTATGCTCCTTTATGGAGGAAGCAGATGTATTTCATCTTCCTTTTTTGCACATCCTAGTCACTCTTGTTTTGAATATCCACTCATCGTCCAGGATCCTATTCTCTGCTGATTTCTATTTTAAGTGTTTTCTAAATAGGGGTATCAGTTCCTAGGATTCCCTCTGGAAAGTCGTAACATAATGTACTACATTGACATATGACATATGACATTGCCATTTTGTGGGCCCAAAGTGACTGAATGATAGCTCTTTCATGTGGTTCAGTTGAGATCACCTGGAAACATGAATGGCTTAATTCTTCAGTAAGGGCCAAAGAAATTAATTGGGAATACCTAGGTAGCAGGCCCCAAAAGAACCTGTGGTGAAAAATTTGGCCACGATACTTTATAGTCCCATGCCTCAAACTAAGCCAAAAATCTGAGAGATTTCTTAACTTTTAAGTTATTGTTTCAGACACATTTTATGAGCCACTTCAGTCTCAGTCTCACCCTCTCTTCTTTCAGCTGCCGCTGCTTGTGGGCTCTGGCCAACTGTGTGTAGGTGCAATCTGACAGTGCCCCACATCTCTCATTTCCTGTTTTGGAGCTTCCTGTTTCTGTTCCCAGGCCCGCACCACTACCATTCCAAAACACACACACCTCAGCAGGGGAACCATTGGCCAGTGGGCGACGGGAGCCAGTGAATAAATTCTTCCCTCTGTTTCCCATCAATCATGGACAGTCTTGAGACTCCCTATATATAGCTTCTGGGATGATTCCTCTGAATTCATCAATTAGTCATACTTTACAGCGGCCAGCTCAGTGACACCTCTTTGTGTTGCCTTTTCTCTAACCTGCTTTATACTTTATTCCCTAAAAAAGTAATAGCACACAATCCCTCTGCCTTGGCAGTGCTTTCTGAGGAACCCAAACTGTATCCAACATTGTTCTCAAATTTTTATCAGAATCACCTCTGGTAAAATACATCCTCTAAATTTTGGGAAGCACTCTCCTAGGATTTTTTTCTTTTCACTATTCTTTTCTTTTTTTGAGGAAAATTAGCCCTGAGCTAACATCTGCTGCCAATCTTCCTCTTTTTGCTGGCCATGCCCATCTTCCTCTACTTTATATGTGGGACACCTACCACAGCATGGCTTGCTGAGCAGTGCAGTGTCCACACCCCGGATGCAAACTGGCAAACCCCAGGTCGCTGAAGTGGAACGTGCGAACTTAACTGCTGTGCCACTGGGCTGGCCCCTTTTTTTCACTTTTAATATAGATTTTAGAGCAGATTTAAGTTCACAGCAAAATTGAGCAGAAGATACAGAGATTTCCCACGTCCTCCTACCCCCACATACACGTGGGCTCCCGCACTATCCACATCCCAGTGCCCTGGGATTTGAAGCACATAAAAGTCACCTCAAGTAAGCATAGTGATAATCAGTCAATCAAACGCTACCTTGGGGGTTCTGGTTTTGGGGAAGTTGATGTAAGCACGTTCCACCCTGTC